ATTACTAAGCGAATCACATTATTATTTCCTCCAACGCAATAACAAGTTCAACTAGGATACATTCATGCACTGCTTCTTCTTGTCTTTTTTATGGATGATTATGAAGATAATTTTAAGTTTTTTCGACTATCCTGCACAATAGAATAAAGATGAAAAACAGTCTTTTTTTATTGAGAGTTAGACAAAACAAAACAATTAAGCAAAAAGTGAATTTATTCGACAGTTTTCGATAAAAGAATTTGATTTGATAATCCAAAGTTTTATATAAACATAAAAAAAGATCTTCTAGAAGGATTCTTCTTTTATAAATAAAAAATAATGATTTTGCTTCTAATTATATGTCGACGGAATGATGTTAAAACACATTAATATACTAGAGAGAGTTAAAAAAACCAACAAATAGAAATGAAATTTACGTTAGATGCTAAACCATCTCTTCACCGAGTGAATGAACTTCAACATCGATTTGAATAACAAAGGTCAAGATGATATTGCCGCCTATTGGGCCATGAATTGCACGACATTCCCTACAATAATCTCTATTACTCATGAAGTTCTTGCTATATACCTAAATCAAATATCACTATCGAGCATCTTTTTTCATAAGGATGAGGGTAAGGTTCTTCTCTTCACTCACATCTATCTTCAGTTATTCACAGAGATTGCAATAGCTATTAACTTAATATAAAGTGAACAGAAGATCAATGACAAAAATATGAATTATTTTACATGATAAGTGTCGAGAATGAAATAAGGCATCACGTTTTCTTCTTAAGTCAACACAGGTAGTTGCTCGTATTGTTATGCAAAACTCAACGTGTCAATTCAACTGCATTCTGTGATATGCTAGAGGAGTAACTAAACGTTGTTTTCTTATCTTGTGCTACCCATAGGAGAAATGTAAAAGAAGGAGCAGATTCAATTGCACATCGTGTTTATCGTTGAGAACAAGTAATCGTAGCCAATTTGCTACGTGTTCTTTTCATGAGAGGTTTATTTGCTTGTAGTTCGAAATGTTACCTCATATTAAACTTTCCGAAGGAATACCCGGTATACGCAGTGGCTTCAAGTTTCGTCCTGAAATTGCTCAACCAATGCAAGATCTTGCCAATATATTGATGCGTAATAATAATACTGATTCATTGAGTAATGAAGAACGTGAAATAATTGCAACGTTTGTTTCAAAACTAAACGGTTGCTATTTTTGCCAGGCAA